GGGGGGGGGGGGCCCCGGGGGACGCCACACCCGGGGGTACCCCCGCCCCAACTCGGCCCCAAACCCCAATCCTCAACCTTGGCCCGGTGCAAGTATCATCCCAGTTCGCTGAAGCCCATCGCCCTTCACCTCCTTGCTTTAGGGCCCCACCCCAAGATTCCCAGCGACAGCCTCGGAAACCAAAAAAAGGAAAGAACTGGAAACCAGACACAGGCCCAACCCCCAGTTTAGCCATAATCTTGAGGTTTAGAGAGGTCTTAGTAAGTAGGGTTTGTGTCCTCTTGATGTCACTGGAGGACGTACAAGTTGGCCAGTGGTTGGTCTCAGAGAAGAGTCTAGACGGGGCTGGTTGACAGAACAGGCTCCGGAATTGCGGACCAAGTGGGAAGGGGCAAAATGAGCCCCCAAGGGGAGATTCCCATGCTGCGCTTGCAGAACCTCAGAGAAGACGGCAGCCTTCACAAAGCAGGCTAACCACTCACTGGGGTTTAAGCTAATCCACAATTTGACAAGTACACCGTGAAAGCGATTCGTGTCTACTCACACTGTGGTTTGTTTCTTAAGAATTCACTAGAAACGTGTACTAAGGGCTGTAGGCATTCTTCATCCTGCTAAATGCAAACTCAGACTTTAATTTCCCAGAGTCTTCATGCAATCATGGTTTGGGGAGGGGATAAGGGGAGAAGAAACACAATTATTCTGCAGCACAGAACACAAGCACCTAAGGCTAGACGTGAACCTCAAAGTAGCAATATATTTATTTACAAAATATACAGTTTCACAGAAACAGCTTTGCTTTATACACATAAACTTTAAAATTACACAGAACCATGTAAACGATGTTAACTGTGGCCTGGCCAAAGCCGATGGGAGGGGCCTACTTTTGGGATGACATCTTTCCCTCCCTTCACTTCACTAGCCACCAACCAGGAGCCCCTAGATGGGTCATGCCTAATTTGCATAAAGAAGCTGATTGCAGCTCTGCCCAGCTCAATCTAACACAAAAACCAAGATATTTGACTTCGTAGACACCACCCACAGGGATAGATCTGTTAAAAGAACAAAAATGAAATAAGTGAAACAGAAATCGAGATGAATACTGAATGCATACCAGAGGCATCAAACATTGGCACGTGTAACAATTGCCAGGGTTGGCAGCTCCACTCTAAAATCACGTGTGTTCTTAAATGCACTTGTAAAATCTAGTGGAGTTTTTTTTTAAAAAGAAGAAAAACACTTTGGAACTTTGGTTATTCTCACGGTGAAGACACTGGACAGGCATTGTCATGGGGCAGATCTTTGGCAAATTCCTCTCCAACTTGTCAGGGATGTTTGCCCTAGTCAGAGCCAGACAACTGTCTGGAGAGAATGTTGTTTCTGAACCAGCTTACTATTTTTCTCTACAGAACTTCTCCCTTGGGATCTTCACAATAAACTGGGTTTTAGAAACAATTACTCTCCACTTTTGTGTTTCTTTTTTTTTTTTTTTTTTGTTTTTTTTCGTGTCCGGCAACAGATCGCAACCCTCAGTGTCGCGCCCGTACCGGACCGGGACCGGCAACAGGATCGCAACCCTCGGTGTTGCGCCCGCACCTCGCTCAGCCAGTGAGCGGGAACCGGTCTGTATGTGGGATCCGAACCCTCGGCGGGAGCGCCGCCACGCTCCCAAGCAGCACACTGTAGCAGTGCGCCACCGGGCCGGCCCTCCACTTTTGTGTTTCTATAAGCAACAGAATTGAAAAAAAAAAGTTGGTTGGACAAATGTGAAAGATGCTAGGACAAAAAAATGGGTTCTGATTACCCCGGATGATGTGTTCAACCCCCTTGGTACTTCAGTGAGAAAACATGGGAGGAGTGTGCCTGGTGACCCCATACAAAGGTGGCACATGGAGGGGGAAACCCCCATTGGGGAGACTACATGCCCATCCTGTGGCAAATAAACATGACTAACTTGGGCATTCTCCGCTTTTCATGCCTTACAAGAAACAATGCTTATGAAAACATACCCATCAATTCACAGAACATTTTTGAGAGCAAGTACTTGAACTGCTGAGGGCAATGTCAATTTCAGAGAAAGCTGAAGGCCTCCTCTCACTCCAAGCCCAAGAACCACCAGTGTCCCAGGGCACACTGCCTTTGAGCGAAGTTCTGCGGGACTTCAGGCATGAACTCCCTGGTTTCTCCAAGGGTGGCCCTTGCAGGGACCTCCCCAGTCCAGATCTAAGAAACTCTGCACAGTTCAATGGTATATTCCTGAAGGCCAATGTTACCCTACCACTCACTCATCAATTCAAACCAAAAACAGGACTCAAGCCCTAACCTTGCTCCACAGAACCAGCAGGCCAGCCTGTATAAAAGGCATACTAAGCACCACCCATGGGAGAGGTCTCCCTCCCAATTTTTCTGTACCCCTTTATTTAGAGGAACAACACTCGTGTCCCAGCGATTGCCTAACCTTTACATTGCTACTAAAATAAGGTAAGGGAAAGAGATGAGGAGAGAACCTAAGTGCTCCCACACTTGAACACAGCTTGCCTGGGCCCCACCAGGACCTCACACACCAACTAGAGAGAAAGGGCACCCAGCAAGAAACTGGCCAATATTTTTGGCTGTATCGTGCAAAAAAGACAGGTTTTTTTACATCGTGCAAAACAGGAAACTGAGTTATGAACACAGGCCACCTCAACCCCCCAACCAACCCCCTTTCCACAGAGAAGTGGCCACATACTGTCCCTTTTAATAAACAGAAGAAAACCTAAGAATCACTAGCTAGCCTGCCCTCTGGGGCTCGCGAGGACTCCAGCCCGCAGCTCCTACAACTGACTGGAAGCAAGGGAGGCAGAGAGAGAGGGGCGGGCCACTCAGGTAGGGGCAACTTTGATGGCTGCTGTACAGACACTTTTGGTAAAACACTTACACACAAGAAAAAGCATACACATATGGCTGTTCATTAACAGGCCGGGGAAACCGAACATCTCCTCTCCCCAACACAGTGGAAGCAGGAATAACAGCTAGCACTTGTTCCAATTGGCGGGAATTTGTTAACGATAGCAAAAATTCACAACTACCATGTGCCCTCAGTTTCAGCTGAACCAAACCCACTGTACTTGGGTGTTTAGTCCACCTCCACTGCAGAGAACAGAGCTCTCGCAGCAGCTTTGGCCAACAGAGATTTTATTCAGTCACTGGCTATGTACAGTTTCTACCTCGGACAGCCTGTCCTTCGCTTAGGCACCTGAATGGCAGGGTTCTGCCCGCACCAGAGCTGAGAGTTCTGTGCTCAACTAAGAGAGGGACCAAATAGCCCACCGTCCCTTCCGATTCCTCGCCCACAGTCTCCTCGCCGGCCAGCAGTCAGTCCAGAAACAGCTTCCGGGAGCCCATTCGGGAACGGTTGGAACGGCGGATGTCAAACTTGGAGTCCCGGCACTTTTGGCAGACAAACACTTCCGGAACGTTGGATTTCCGGATTTTTGCACAGGACAGGTGAATCCAGGTGTGGCACTCATTACACTCTATCATGGGGCGGCCAGCAAATGGCTTCATGCAGAAGCAGGTGACAAGGTCCCAGGAATCGTCATCTGGAAGGAAAGAAACACTTAAGAGGAAGGGGAAAAAACTTTTCACAGTCCCTCTCCACCAAGAACACTGCTCATCCAATGGGACAGAGCAGCTGAGTTTTGATGAAACCCATTACTCGACTAACAAAAATGACTTCAACTTTCACTTACCACTGATATTTCTCTCTCTGAAAATGCAATAAACACACAAGGGGCACTAAGTGTGTGGTGACCAGAGTAACCTCTGAGATGTTACACACTACATGGACTCTACAGTCTAAGGCCTGGCTCCAGCTCTCAGCTGCTTCTAGCAGCGATCAACCCCTTCCTAATCGCCCCGCTATCCACCTGCCCGCACTCTGCTCCTCCCTGGACATGGGGAGGGACACGCTGCAATCGCACTCCAAGGAAGGGACTGGACCCTCTGCACCAAAGACATGACTGCTTAAAAGAACCTCTTCTAGCCACCATCCAGCAAGCATCTCCATCCTTCAGGGACCACTTACCTGAATCCACCATTATGTCCTCATCATTGCCAGTGCTGTCCTCGTCTCGGAACACCACCTGCTTTCCCTGCCGGACAATAGTCCGTTTGCCTTCAGTTTTTATTTCTTTGACCTGATCAGGTGACACGGTGGCACAAGATCCACTCGAGGGAGTGTCGGAGTCCCAGCCCGAGCACGCGTCGCTGGGGGCCTGGGGGATATCCTGCAGGGTGGGGCTCGTGGGGGTCTCTCCGTATGGATCAGCGGCTTCCAGCTTCAGCAAGCCCCCCCTGTACCCCTCCTTCCCGGACACATCACTGTCCCTTCGCTTCCTCTTCTTCTTCTTCTTCAGCTTGTCTGTTTTCTTTCTGTCGAGCAGGAAGTTACTGGGCTTGGCTCTCTGCAAGAGGGTGGGCTGCAGGTGGCTAAAGCAGCGGTCAGAGACTGGCAAGGGCACCGAGGATGCAATATCACTGAAGCTCGCGTCCCAGCCATCGCTGTCAATGGTACCAGCAGTGCTGTTGGCAGGGCTGGGGCTGCTCCTCAAAGGGAGTTCCTGAAAGGAGAGAGGCAAAGGCAGCGGGTTCTGTTACGCTGACCAGTCTCGGGTGGTGACAAGAGCCCCCCTCCCAGGCAGGTTGGGCCTCCAAGCATATGCCGGCACAACCTCAAGCGTCCCAGCTCTCACCAGTATTACACACAAGGAACAACGTCAGGAGGAGTTTAATGTGACACCATGAGGGGAAAAATCACCTTCCCTTTCTGAACTCTGAGCCCCTGTCCCAGAGCCAGGAACTCAACCGATGGTCACTAAATAGGTGCGGGAAGGAATGCTGGCGACAACCTCTTGTATCCTCTTATCCTCCCCTAACTGTAAAATCTCTCCATTTATCCTCCCAAGAGAGATATTTTTTAATTAAGTGAATTTAAATTAGTTTTGAGAATTTCCTGACACTCTTAAAGACCTGGAGACATCTCAAATGTTACAAAATCAAAGTAGGCAATTACTGTCCCGAAGCACTGAGCATTACTGCCCCCAAAACTCTACAGTTCCTTCAGATAATTCAAGCATATGATCTACAAATAGTGGCAACATTCTGCTTGGTGAACAGCAAGCATTACCCACCTATACAGCAAGTGGAAATAATAAACTAGTGCTGGGATTTTGTCTCCTACAAATACTGGATTCTTTTATTTTAACCTTAGTACAATATGAATGCAGACCCTGAAGTCTGAGTACCACAGCAGCTCTGGTCCACAGCTGTGCCCTTTTCACAGCAAGGAAAAACAAATCCTTTCATTTACATGGGATTTTGGCCACGAGTCCCTGAAAACTCTGTTATGTGGTATTCACAACAACTAGGAGGCTGTTTGAGAGGCAGGTGTGCACCCCAAGTCCAGGCATCTGGTTGAACCCCAAGCTCCACCACTAATTTGTTGGTGACCTAGCACAAGGTAGGTCCTCCTCTGTGCCTCTGTGTCTTCTTCTTCTTTCTTTATTTATGGCAATTGGCTGGTACAAGGAACCGATCCCTTGACCTTGGTGTCACAAGGCCATGATCTAACCGACTAAGCTAACTTGCCAGCCTCTGTGTCCCCATCTTTAGACTGGAGATAAAAAATAGTACCTACTATATATTATAAGGGTCAAGAACAGGGTCTGGCCATGGTAAACACTCAATAAGTACTGGCCATCATTAAGAACAGGCATATATCAAATGTACTATTTACAAATATACTTTTAAAGTTTATCAAATCGTTTCTAAACAAGTCTGAATTTTCTATCAGTTTTAGAAACTACTTCGCTGACTGATCTAAATCCCCAAGAAATAGGTTTCTGCCAGACTGCTGCTTGAGCTCATCACAAGCAACCCCCTGCAGATCCACTGTCCAGTCAGGTACCCAACAGCACACAGCAAAGACACCGGATTTCCACTGCCCAGCAAGACAGTCTCAAAAGCTCTGAAGATTAATTACCTCCTTCGGATAGGGGATGTAGCCAGCATAGGCCAAAACAAAGGTGCAGAATTTGTTGAAGTCTTCCACAGTCCTGCGCCTCTTGTAGCCGGGGGAGTATTCCTGTTAACAGGCAAGAAAAGGGAGTGTGTTTGAAGACACTTCTAGGTGGAATCGCAGAAACAACAACAAAGCAAACTAGAGCTTTTATTGTCAATCACTCAAAAAATACAGTTAGATTTACACACAGTCTGGAAATAAAATAAGGTAAGTTTAGGTCAAGAAATAACACCATTTTCAGAAGGTTGAAAGAGGAGTATGAGGAGTTTATGCCAAGAACACTGGGAAACTGGCTGGGAGACAAAGGCCTGTCCACGAGTCTATTTCTTAGCACTGGGGGCATTTTCTGACCTCACTAGTCTCCGCAGGCAGGCCTATCAGGAGCGTTAGTAACTACTTTTTTGCTACAGATTTTCTATGTTGAAGATAAGCTACTGCTGCAGCTGTATGGGAAGTATTCTAAGTAATTTCAAAAATCAACTACTTCTTTCCTGCAGGGCTCCATCAGGCCTGGTACTCTGGAGCTGAATCCCACCAGACCCTGCCCCACTCTCCCGCCAGAGGGTCCCAAGAAATAAACCAGAATCGTTCCTCCTAGGTTTACCTGCACATCTAAGATGGAACAGTAGAGGTTATTCCTTGGGAGTTCCATCCCCATCCAATCTAGCAACACCCATAACAAAAAAGGATTTTCTCTTTATTTGCTCCAGAGCAGAACCACGGGGCTTTACAACTGTCTATCCGACCAGCATGCATTTACCGAGGTCACCGTAAAGCACCTGTTCGTCCCCCCACCCCGTCCTTCCTCAGGTGCTCAGCTGGTCTCTGCAGAGCCCGGGCCCCCGCCGTGCTACGGTGAAACCGAGGGGGAACAGGGGGGGCGGACTCCCAGGAGCAGGGAGAGCAGCGCGGCACAGCCTGCAGCCTGAGGTTTTCCTCCAAAGACTCGGCTGTTCTCTAACTTTTCTCAGCTCGGTTCTGGCGAGCCCCCTACTCCCCCGCAACCCCGGGCCCCCGGCCCCGAGGGTCGCCCGATTGCAGCCGGAGCCGCCCGCCCACCCCGGGAAGCCGGCCGCTCGCCCTCCCGCCGTCC